TGCCAGTCCCAACAAATGCTGTCTCATTTTAACCCATTTAAAAACAAGTTCAATGTGTTATGGCTCTGCACTGTCAGATTATTTGCCTGGTTGGAAGCCAGCAAGAAACTTCTGTGACTAGAGGAATATCCTATCCTGCAGATAAAGGAAGCAATAAATTATTGCTATTAAAATATTGTACAGTAAGAAAACTCAAAAACTACATCTGTATGCCCTGTGCAAATTGAATAGACCAGACAGCCACTAAATAAACTAAGGTTGCCATTATCTCTATATTGCTTGATTCTTTGTATTATGTATAAATGCTACGAAGTCAGACCATCCTCTTCACTATTAAAAAACAGCAAATTTTACAACATACCCATGTTAACTGTGTTAACCTACTGCTTTCATTGCTACATCAAGAAAAGGTTGATTTTACATATCTAACTTTTAATAAGGATCTATCAGCTCTCCTCAGCTGATAGGAACTGCTATGGTTTCACCACAAACCTACAGAGCCTTTAGCCAGAGAAAGGTAGGGTCCAAAAGGGCTAAAGTTTATATGTATGATAAATTACATTGACTGCTGGCTCAGGCTCCGAGAATAAAGCAGCCTACTGGCAGGGAAGATGAAGAACTCTCTTCCCCTGCAATGCTGATCCCATCACATGGCTTGCTTTGAGCTGGCCAGCACTTTCCTGCCTCCCAGACTGGTTACAGGACAAAATGAACTGCTACCAAATTGAAAATACATGCAGAATGCCTGCAAAGGATCCCTTGTTCTATGTAAGCTTCTTGCAAAGAGCAGCTCCAAAGAGAATTAGGGGGTTTGGTGACCACCCTGCAGGTCACCACCAGTGCACAGGCCATTCTGGATGGAGGAGCAAAGGCAATAAGTATGTGAGACATGTTGACTGTTTGGCCAGCACAGGGTGAGCTCCAGATCAGTGTCACGGACTGAAACCACATGAGGGAGCTGGAATGGGAGGAGTGGTGTTAATGGAGATCACCAGGCATGAAGCCTGCAGCTCTGGGCTGCTCTTTCAGATTGCCATTCAGGGAAGGACTGATGGAAGGGCAGATCTCTGTTTGGTTTTGGTTTGGGTCTGTGTGAAGCAATAAAAACCAACCCACAGTGCACAGAATGCTTTTCCATATGTCATGAGAGACAGTAGCCTTCCGTGTCTAAGGCTGTATGTATGCTACATACTTATGTAGGCGTGGCACCCTTGTTCCTATCACCAACAATTTCCATTTGGTCAAATCTGGAAAACATCCTGAGTAATACAAGAATTAATTTTTCTGTTAAATATTTCCAATGCTGTCTTTTGGCAAAAAAAGGCATCAAGAGTTACTTGGAAAAGGAAGGCACAGCAAAGAGATGTTTCAGTTATTTTGCAAACAAGCTGCCAAAACACAAAGAGCAAAATCCAACCAATACAAATAATTCTTTGCACTTATACCACTATAAGCTAAGTGGAGATCTGAACACCGACCAACCACAACTACCTTTTAATTCACTTTCTAGAGTGCAGCTATAACAAAACTCAACTCAAAACAGCCTTGTAAAGCTGTTTTTACACACATGCCTGGTCTACTCTTGCAGCATGAAATAAAGCCCCATGAGGTGCGATAACACTCAAACAGCAGATTCAGTGTTTACCCCTGGCACTGCAACTGATGTCGGGGTTATGAAATTTGCACATATGCACCTGGGTACTCACAGGACACATCTGCAATGGATCATGCCAATTTAAACACCCACAGCCAGGGCGCATAGTTAAGCTGTCCATGCTTATTCAAACATTTTCATTGTCCAGTTAAAAGCTCCATAATTAAGTACAGTTTCTGACGACTCTGTTTATGACATATGCTTCTTTACTTATTTTGGCAATTATCTAATAGATGACAAAGTATAAGTTCTGTTTTGTATCAGTCTGTGGTTCTTTTAAGCTCAGAGCAATTCTAACATTATATTAAAGACTTCTCAGTCTATGAATTTAGGTTCCCTGTTCTACTGAGAGAGGGATTAAATCCTCTATTTTTGTGTTGGTATACTGCAGTATTCAATAACGTGTTCTTGGAAAATGAAAGTAATAGAGACAAATGCGAAGTTACCACACTGTTCCCAGCACAAAGCTCTCCCACTGACTGCCCAAATCTATCACTGTCCAGTACTGGGAGGGACTTTATATGAGCAAGTGCCACTGGAAGTGGGAGGACACAGATGGGGATAAGGAAGGGGTTCCAATGTCCTGTAGAGGGGACTTGTTTGAAGTCTGGCACAAGTCAAACCCAAACCAACCAAGGACAACAAAGTAAAAAAACACCTTCCTGCTTTCCACGTCTCTGATTATAGAAGTCTTTGCTCCAATTTATTTCACTTCGGAAACAATCTTTTACAGCTGCAGATGGCAAGTACTTACTCAGCTAGTGAGCAAAAAGAAGTTGGAAAGAGTGAATATTAATGGAATGGGTTCTGATGGGGAAAAAAAAAAAAAAAGAAGGCAGGCCAACATCTTCCATGGATTAACAGCAACCGCTAGCCAATCTTCCCCTAAACAAAGAGGGAGCATGTTCTACAGCATCCTTCTCAAAAGGAACCAGACCACGTGCTGTGGCAACCCTGGCTGTCCTGCACCCAGTGCCATGGCTCAACCCACACTCCAAGGCTGGTAGATCCCACACATTAAAGCAGAGCCTCTGACTGAGTCAATGACAGTAAAACAGAAGCAATTTCATTCTGATACCTGCATTTTATTTTACTTGTTTATACTCCATCCGTCTTCCAGGACTTTTAACAACCAAGTGTTCTCATGCAGCAAGGTGCTCCAAGGCAATGCATCACACTACAGTAACATTGCTGGCAGGCTTGCATTTAGCTGACTGTGCATATATCCTCCCCACACAGGATGCCCAAGGAGCAGATGATTTTGGAGATAATTTGCCTTCATGCAAGAGAGCAGATTTAGCCAAGCTCCTGATGGTGTTCAGAATGCAGGGTTTGGTTTTGTTTTTTTTTTTTTTTTTTGCATAAAAAGTAATAGTTTAGTGCTAGTAAAGGTATTTTTGGCATACCACACCTGTAAAAAAATACCCCCACAAAACCAAGAGCAGCCACATACTATCCATTCAATAATTGCATTTCCTTTTTAGCACATACTTAATTGGCAGGTCCTCTTACTCCATGTGACTGTTCAAGTTCATCTTCATTTATGCCAATCTACCAAAAGCTCAGAGGAAAAAGCTTCAGGCTGGTCTGCACAGGGCAGCTGCCCTGACATACCAGGTATTTGGGGTTGGCAGCCAATTTCCCCTTTAATTTCTTTTAACAAGAGTGGCTGTCCCAGTTGTTAAACCCTAGCTGAAGTTAGCAGCACACTTGCTGAATCCTTTAAAACATAGCTGAAACTCTGTTCAATCTGTCTGAATGGTTTGGTCAGCAACACGGGGCAAAACCAAACCAGGCTTAAGTGAGTTTGGAGACTAAGTTTAGCACATGGCACACTTCAATAATACTCCTAACATCTCTTGTTTTCAAGACCAGAATTAGCAATTAAATGCAGAGTTAAGAATCACTGCAAATCTGAGGCCATATGCTTCTAGCAAAAAGAATGCTTTTTCAGAACTCATATGTAGAAACTCTGCAAGCTTTTGAATCTGGATCAAATCCACAGCTGGAAGGAAGCTTTGTGTTGGTTTTATCAGGTCATAAGACATTATTACTCTCATAAAGCCTACATTCTCTCATCAACTGCAGTCCTGATGACTGGCAATCCTCAAGTGATTTTGCAAGGATCACTATTTTCTTCCATATCTGTCAAAGTGCCTGTTACGTGAGCCAAGTCTGCAGCCAAGTGCTGTTTCAGGTTAGCCCTGATCCATCAAAACTTGCCACTAGGAAATTCTGATCAACACTGACCAATCTGGTCTTACACAGCCAGTGTGAAAGTAAAGTTCACCATTAGTACCAGAGTTTTAAGATCCATGATAAAAATGAGCTGTTTGCTGTCTTTCACTCAAGAAAGCAGCACAGCCTGGCTTTCCAGGTTTCTTTCACCTCCCTTTCATACCAGGAGCAGACCTCATCAGCTGCTAGTCATAACTCTATACTCTCTCACAGTACACAAGAAACTCACTTTAGCTAGTGTTGCTACAATGAAAAGACCAAAATCTTGAGAAACTCAGGAGTAGCATGACACTTGCCTTCCCTGGAAAGTGGAGCATGGAATATATTGCATCATGCATATCATCTAGTGTTCACTGTATTGAAAATAACTAAACAGTTTTCATCAATAACAAGAAAAATATAATGTTAGCCTACAAGGAGACTGAAATACAGGCTGGAAGAAGGTACATATATCCTTGCTCTTCCTCTGAGCCAAGTACCAGTCCTGGCAGGGATTTGTTTCTCTTCTTAAAAATCTCCAGTGATAGAAATTCTGAAATATCCTTCAGTCATCTATTCTAGCACTTAGTTAGCTGCAGAGCTAGTGGAATTTTTCCCAGTATCCCATCCCAGCCTTCACTGTGCAGATTTCAAATGTAATGCTGTTTTTTCTAGATAAGGAAACTACAGATTCACAGTGCCTGAGCAAACCATATCAGCCATCAGCAGTCCTACCTGTGAAGCCTTAAAACCTTCCACTGCTAGCCCTGTGCCACTGAATTAATAAAAAGCATCAGATGTGTAAAAAGCTTGTGGATTTGGTGGAAAATTAGAATAACCTAAAGCACTTAAATCTGACATTAGGAAAGGTGTGCCACATGGGATCACATCAGTAAACTGGCATTGCCATTAATTCTACCATGCAAAAAAATGACTTCTGCAAAGAATGAATTTTGCATGTTCTAAGCAAACACTTTTAATAATACTTATGAGATGGTTCTATGCCTTCTGACTGTTATAGGCATTTCACAGCTTGGAGAATACACGTGCTGGAGACCTGTTTCCCACACTACTACTCACGCAGTAACACTTCCCTGCTCCTCCCCACTCAGATCCCAGGGCTCTGTACCTCCTCAGAAGCTGGAGAGATGCTTGGACAGAACACGAGGCCTGACAAATTCACTCCAGAATGCACCTGCTGAAGCTAATTAGATCACAGGAACATTTCCCAGGCTGTACACTCCTGCAAGGAAGAAAAAAAAAAAATACCCATAACATTATTAATTGCAAATGGTGGGGACCATGAAGCCTGAGTACATTTCTGCTGGACATTTCCCTGTGTAGGTATAAACTCTGCGTGAGAGCTGACAGTGTCCAGAGAGGAAGCTGACTCCATCTAAAGAGGAAAATTAAAGGAAAATACACTGACTGCTCTCAGGATCAGTTCCTGAGACAAAAAGGCCCAATTTGTTTTCAAACAAATTTAGGATAATTGCCTTGACTTCAACAGAGCATTGTAAAAGCCAGTATAAATGGTGGAATGAAAGCAGGACAGCCTAAAAACATACGTGGATGGACATGGTGGGAAGACTGGAGTTATCTACTGCTCCTCTTAAAATAACCATGGTTTGTCAACCAACATTGTAAGGAAGGGGGTTCTACAGTTTAAGCTAGAAAAAAAATGCATGCAAAAGCTGAAACAAGTCAGCTAAATAAAAGCAAAAGCAACCTCCTTCAACCTCAGGATGGTTTTAACAGCTAACTACAGAAATGATTTGCAGACCTTCCATTCAAGTGAGGGGGAGGGAAGAGGATGGCCGGCAAGATGTCTGTGGAATGTACCGCAAACAATGCTGCAGTAAAAGACACTCTTGTCCATCTAAGGTACTTAATAATAAACAGCAAAACAACAACCGAGTCAGTTTAAAGGAAAGTATAAGAACAGTAACTGTTCAGCATTTTATTGATTTACTTACATTTAGAGATCAAAGTCTCCAGACTCCAATTCCTCAGTGGTATGGAACTCATGCCTACACTGTGTAGCGAAATAAAACCCACACGGGGAGCTTACTAAAAGCTGCCATTACAGTTTGGGTTTGCATGAGCTGGCATTGCACACCTTAACTCATACTTTCCCCTTTGCAGAAAAGAGCAAAGCAGTGCTGTGGGCCCACGTGTGCCATGGACACGAAGCCAATAGTGCATTGCAGTCTGCCAGCTGATGGCGAGCAAAGCTGGCTGGTGATTAAAGTGGCATCGGGAGTGCTGTTTGTTCCACTTATTTGCAGATTTAAGGGAACTTTAAAGCTTTGGTTAGATGAAATCGACTATCTCAGAACTACTAAGTTTTATACTAGTACTGCTCAAGGGAAAGAAACCAAAATAAATCATTAAAAAAAAACAAACACAACATACAGAAAAAGGAATGCTTCTTCCATAGATGTTATGAACACGTGCGCACACACACACACCCATTCCTCCTTCCTTCTGAACTACAGTGAAAGCGCAGTTTTATTTTCCTGAGCACATAGCTTGTCCCCATCTGGTTCCATTTTTTACTACTTTCTTCTTTTGGTTTCCTTCTCTCCCATTCCAACCCATATTTACTTCCTTTTGTTTAGTCTGTATTCTTTATTCCCTCTTCTCTTTTTGCAGATTTCCTTTTTAATTTGTTTTGGAAAAAAACCATTCTTGCTCTGATTTTCTTAACCCAGGCTGGTGCCAGGGACCCATCAGGACACCCCTCTCCCATGCCCCTTCCCTCTTGTAGCCCTGGCTGGGCTTGCTCTTGGTACAAGGTGTGAAGCTGAGGGCTTCTTTATACAGAGAAGTGCACCAGTCTACTTTTGAATTCAATTTCAAATACCTAGTATGAACCACTGTGTGGAAGGTCAAATATATTATTTACAAGCCATTGTATGTAATTTAAAACAACTCCTAATCTGTATGAGATGAGCCACTATAAAGCAGGATTAGGTTGAAATTAAAACGTCTGCAATGGGATTTTATTAAATTGGTTTTAAATTACATTCTTAGTAATACAAAGCCGAAGATTAGAAATCTTAATAGAGCAGAAAGACCGCTTTGGGACAGAACTGTGGCACTCCTTACAAATCATGCTAGATTCGCAGAAGCAGAAGGGCCCAGCAAAGGCCAGAGACTGCTGCTTGCAAAACTCTAAAGCTCAAAACAGTAAGCTCCACAAGGCTGCCCAGACACCAGGCTCTGCAATTTCCAAGTAAGAGCATCCTTGTCCCTGATGTGGGCTATGTGCACATCCTGTGCCACTTCCTCCACCCCCACACTGCCAGGAGCACGTGCACCTGCACCAGGCTGGGGGGTTCTCACTTGTGGGGTTCTCACTTGTGGGACTCAACCCCAGGGGGCTCATCCCATCTTACGATCATTGCTATACTGCCCACGAAAGCCACGCACCACCTGGCCTAACCAACCTCATAGGATGAAGGATTGTGTTTTTGCTGAAGTTCATATGCACAAGAGGAAAGATTTCCTTCTTTCATTCATTTCCAGGGATCTCTCCCATTAGCATGATAGAGATGGAGAACTGTGTAGTAAACTTAGCTAAACCTCCACTGCAAGGTTTATTTCAAACTCTGTGAAGTACTACTAAAATACTCTGTATTTTGTCATCAGTAAGTTTATCTTCTTTTCAACTTTCACTTCATGTTCAGCAATTTTAGTTAATCACATTTTTCTTAGTAATATTTAAAAATAATGAATACATTTTTACATAGGGATACAAACTGTACATCCCTCCAAATGTGCTCGCTGTGAAAGTTCCAAGTGCTGCAGCAACAAACCAGTGCCATTTCCTGCCCAACACAGGGGCTCCCAGGCCAAAAAGCTTCCAGCACAGCAGAGCTGAGACAGACCTCCTCAACAGATATCACAAAGAATGAGAAAAAGCTTTAAGAAGAGAATACATCAGTAATATCAAATAGAACAGCTATAAACTCATACCAGCCAAAATGACAAAGTTCCTGCTACAATGAAAAGCATTAACCTGTTAGAAAATAAACAAAACAACCAGGCATCTGTTGATTATATCAAAAACTTCGAAAAGCCAGAGATATTCTTTGTATTTCTACCAGGATTCAGCTCTATGCTGCCATCAAATAGCAAGGCAGGCTCCCAGCTTCTCACAAACTCACAGAAAACCTTCTTCCTATTTTTGCCTTGTAAGGCCCTGCTGCAAAGTCCACCTTGCCCGCCAGCTGCTAACACAAGTGCCTTGCTAACCGCTTCATAGCTCCCCACCTCACCAAAACAGTGAAAATCAACAAGTGGACTCCCCCTTAGGATGGTTAAAAGGCATTTTAAAAAGACTAACCTGTGCTATTAGAATTTGGTGGAGGTCACGGAGCTCTGAACTTCCCCAGTCGCTTCAATCTCGTTTCCTGTAGAGCAGCACGTGACCCTGCGCTTCCTCACTGCACCTTGCTAGACTTGCTTCATTTACTTTTTGAAGCCCAATGAAGAAGCTGTCTCCTACAGCATGTTTTAAAAGACTTCTGCTCCCATGACATGTTGAACCACTGACATTTGTACATACGCAGAAAGAGCCCTCCTCCGTTTCCTTCTGAGTCACTACACGACTCAATGGCCCTTTTTGTACTACTTTTGTGTATTAATACCAAATCCTAAACGTGATTCTATTACAGTATGTTCAACTCCCATCTCTCTCTTTTTAAAGAGGAAAAAAATGCAACAGTGGAGAATGTAATTACACTGAATGCATGGGAAATTTTAGTTCAAGGCATTCATTTACCAGGCTGTCAAGTGGGAAAAGTATTGATGTATCTACTTTGAATAGTTGCACTTAGTGTAAATTTTTAGAAATATTTTTCGTTAGAACACGGCAAACAATTTTCATAGGAGTTTCAGTCCTATGGGAAAGGGTTTATGACTTTGGAAGAGCAAAGATTCTCTTCTCAGCACTATGTATCCACATACTGTCATTTTAGAATGGGACAAATGGGCTTGAACATAGGTCATGAAAGGATGGATGGTAAACTCATGGATCAGATGAGTAAATTTACAGAGCTGTAATAGTCAGTAGCCTTCAGAAATTAACACTTTGATTTTTCTTTTTAATCCATGGAATCATCACTGTCAGTCAGCAGGGAACAACTGCTGGCACAAAACTGGCTGCAATGCCACCAGACTACAACGCAAACCCAGAGCTTACGCAGAGAAGCCCAGAGCAAACCAACACAGGATGCTTCTGTGCATGCTGTTTGGTGCATTTTACACAATTTCTAAGTGCATGACAAGATTTCCACTGAAAACGACATCTTCTAAATTCAACTGCACTAGATGAAGACCTGGTTGTTGTGAGCGGCCTCCGATGAACACCAACCAGGGGTCACCTCCAGGTCCACTCCCCACAGGCTTCTTGCTTCAACCAAACAAGTCAAATGAGCTCAAATTCCTTCTGTTTGTGGTTAACATGACTAGTTCCGATGGAAAATGAGAGGGAATGGCTTGCAGGAATCCTCCTCCCCGCAGAGAGGTGGGAGGAGCAAGCTGTGGCAAAGAGACAGCAACATGCAGAGGGACTTCACAGGCTGCCAAGATCTGCACTTGTGCTACAACAACCACTGACAATCCCAACTGCCCTACAAGCTGGCAGATACCATAGAAGATACAGATGAACATGGAGGGACAAACTCCAGAAAGGAGAATGTCTGTCTACCATAACAAGGTTTTCCAGTACAAGCACTTCAAATTTAAGGACCTACTGCAGCTACACATTGCACAAATCACATCTGCCTAACAAATGACGTGTATTTTAAATGCAGATATGCAGGGGAAACCCCCACAAAAGGAAATACATGAGTGAAAGAAGGACTACTCCATGACACGGGTGCTCCCATATGACAATTTTTGGGCACACAGAATCCTACTTGTGCATGCACCTCTGAGCTCCTGTGGTTGCAGTCCGAGTACATGTACAAACGTGTCCACAGATGCACCTGCTCTGCCCCGACTTACAACTTTGGGCCAACTGGCCAAAGAGAGATTAGGGTATTATTTACACTGGAAGACACTTGAGAGCACTGTGAGATGCATGCAGCTTAAGCACTTTCTGGCACTGAGCGCTCAGAGTTGTTATATGCCGGACTCTAGGCTTCAGAGGCACAGAGGGGAAGTTGAAGAGTTCAGGAAGTTGCTGTGTTTGTTCACAACACACTGCTTCATTGTATTCGTCTTCAGCTGCTCACCCAGCAGCTCCTGGGCTAACAGTTGTCACTGACAAGAGAACTTATTGCTCCTTTTTTCAAGGGGCTATGTTTACAAAATCACTTTTAACACGTTAATGCTACGTGAGGATCATGACATGTGCTACACCATGCCAGAGCAGTGCTTGGAGCCTCCAATGGGGGAAATGGAGTTCTATACTCCCCCCGGATACCCCTCTCCACATTGTTCAAGTTGCAGGGAATGCATTTTCTCAGTGAGCAACTCCTAGCCATCTCCTTCTTAAGCCATGCCCAAAGTGTCCTCCAGGGTGTCACTCCAGCCAGCGCACCTCAGTGCAGCTCCATGGTTTTCACTGGCACTGCACACGCAGGTGTGTGATACCTGGGGGATTCACCAAGCCCACACAGCCTCCACAAGGCCTGTTCTGGTAAGCTTCTCTGTTCCTGGGCCACCAGGAACACCAAGGGATCTGTCAGCTCTGACTGCAGAAGGGAGGCATCTGAAGTCCTCTCTTCATCAGCCATTTACTTCTCTGTCCTTGTCACAGATGAGGAATCTGCTGACTGGCACCTTTTGGAGCACTGTAGCTCCTCTGGGATTTTTGGTAGCTATATTAGGTGGTAAGCCAACTGCTTGTAACTGACACTGAATCACACTTCACGTACATGCAAGACAAAACCACTTTATCTTCTGAGAGGAAAGCCCACCTGAACCTCTTCCTTTCATGCACCTGGGTGACTAATAAAATGTGCCCATAACATTGTAAATGGCAAAAGTTGTTTTTAAGACTCTAAATTGACTCCCCACCACTTGTGACTCAATCAAACAGTGTTTGATTTACCAAAGAGGACCACCCCAAATGCAATAATAAGTTGCACAGTGGCCTGACAGATGAACTACACCAGGATGTTAATGGTTGTGGCTGTAGGGCTTTTACATAGATAATTTACTGTCCTGCGCCAGCTATGGGGTTCTGAGGGGCTCTGAGGTTTTAGATTAGAAACAGGCATAGCTACATCTCAACACATTTGATGATTCTTGTCCAGGTGATACAAACTAATGGAGCATGCTGAATGCCACAATTCAAACTCACACATATCACTGGCCTTACAAAAATAGGCACTATTTGTAATATAGAATCTCACCTATCTCACTGATACGGCCATATCTGCACACACAAACAGCAGTGGATTCTGTGAAGAATGTTTTCCATCTGGTACCTGTCACCAGCAAATACAAGCTATTAACGTCCCTGTGATTGGGCAATACAATCCGTACTGCTTCTGACCTCGAGCGGGCATAACACCTGTGTGAGCACAAGAGTACATAGTCATACAGGGCTGCTAAAACAACTACAAAAATCCCAAATCTGCTTGCCAAATCACAAGAGCTCAGCAGTAACAGAGAGGTGTTCAAACTTCAAAGCAGGAGCACAGTCAGCAATAGTTTGTTGAAAGAATTACAACCAGGCATGGAAACTGGGACTTCTCAGTAGCATGTAATCCCTGCTGTTTCCATTTCCTCTTCCTCATTATCAGCACAGACGGGGGCTGAAGATTAGTAAACAGTGGGTGTTTGGGGTGAATTAGAGCATGTGTGATATAGAGCTCGCTATCCTGGTGGCATCAGCGTGACTTCGCAAAGAGATGTAAATATTTAATGGTGCCCACTATGTCTCTTCAGAACTATGGAATATTAACACTTCCTTGGAAGTAACAATGATGGAGGAATCTTACTAGGACTCCATCTTGCCCTTCATCTAGGACATGAACAAAGTCTTACAGCCAAGACTTCCCTCCTCCATAGCCGTCTGTGGAGAAGATGAAAGCTTCTCACACTGCTCCTGTCCAGTCTAAAACCAGAAACAACAAACTCTGGGACAAAAACTTCAATGTAAAGAAATTCCCTTCTTCTGAATAGAGGAAAAAAAATACTTCCAGTGTAATCTTTAAAGCTTCCCAACCTGCTATGGTGTTGGGTTTTTATGACCATTATACCTAGACAACAAATGCAAAGGCAAGCAAACTAGTAGCACAATTAGAAATTATTCTACTTTTCTTTAAGCATTTACTTTTTAAGTGGGTTCTCTTCTCTTCTTTGCCCACCGCCATAAGGAACAGTCTTAGAAAAGATTCTCTCTTCTCACACCCAAAATCTGATTTCAGCTGTCATTTCAGGTATTAAAATGCCACTGCCACCTAACTAACAAAGACCAATACTTTCCTACGTTGACGTATTCACAATTTTGAAGAGGAATCTGAAAAAGCAGGAAAATTCTAAATTATTTTTTCTGCTCTTGTTCTCAAGTCTACATAGAACTAACAGCTGCGTGTGAGAGATGTTACATATTCAGCTATTGCCCTTGCTTGTCACAGGTTATCCTTTCAGGAGACAGCTATGTAAATAAAAGCCATTAGTAAGAAAACACAATATGCCTAGAAACACCTACTAATTTCTTGACTTGAGAGAGAACTCCTGAATTGATAAACCGTGCTCTCAAAGTGATTTGCTTGTCCGGCCCCCAGCACCCCTGGCAATATTGATATTAACGGACTCCTGAGGAAGAGTCCTACTCTGCTTCTTTAATTAGGATAAAGCAATCACAAGATACATTGTAAGAAGGTAACTATTTTGCAAAAGTTTCTTCATATCGCTACAGAGAATTCAAATATTTAGTTTGTTCACAGGAACAAAAACAAACAAGCAAACTTCTATGAAAAGGAACCTTACTGCTGGCTGCTTATAATACTCGATTTCACATAATACCTTGTTTCTCAGTTTGTGGCCTTTTTACACAATAACCTTGAGACATGGTTTCCCTCAGACTCGATCAAAGAATGAGATTACACAACAGACACACAAACAGAAAACATTTGCTGTCTTTCCAAAGAGTATTTTCAACAATTCTTACCCAGTAAAAGCTGCCTAGCCATTTTTCCAGAACAATGTATTACACCTCATCAGAGGCATGCCTACTGCCTAATTATCTCTCCCAATATATAAGCACAGTTATGATGGTGATAATATTGGATATTTATTATTGAGCAACTTGTCTTTAGCTATTAACATGAATTTTAAAGTTTATGAAGCATCAGGTATGAACCATATGATGAAGAGTTTTTATATACTTGGTTATTTCAGTAGAAAATACTGTTTTAAAAACAGTTAACACAGTTAAATTGAGTAATACTTTATACTCAATTTCCCATCAGCATTTGTGCATGTACACTCACACACGGACAGGGGAACAGAGCAAAATAAATCTGCACCCAAGAAATAGCAATCTACTACAATGGCCATACATTTTAAAGCTACAGAAACAGCATTTTTTGATGAGACCAGGTTTCCAGCTGACATGGCCTACAATCTGAAAGTGTTACCTCTGTACCAAGTTACATTTTCTCTTCAAGTGGGATGTCTCTATCTAAATGTCTGCAGCTAGAAGTGCTTGCATGAATTGGAGCTTAACACATAAATTGAAGACTATTAAGATGCATGACAATTAAACCATTATTTTGCAAAAAATTGCTATCAAATTCTGTGTTCTAATCATTTGATTTTTTAAGGGGATTTTGCCTATTATTTTTGATTGTAAATCAAGACCCTTTTTTCTCCATCATCTGTTCAACACATGCATTATGAAATCCAAGCAACTAGTTTCATTTTTGAAAGAGGTCTACTGCTTTCATATAATTTATTTCCTCCTCTACATTCTGGATGCTCATAATAGAAGCACTGAAAATTTGTGATTATCTACAAAATAGAAAGGGAGCTGACAAATAGCAGGCTAATACAGGAGTACTCACTGGCATTATTTCACTGGCGTAAAGATCTATACACAATGTTACAGCAGCAGCATCCTACCCAAAGCTCATGCCCGTTTCTTTGTTTTGTTGTTTGTTTTTTAAATAAGTCCTCACGAGCAGGAACTTTAGTCCATTTTTTACATTTTTCCCATGGGCGGTATTTTCCACATCAGGAGCCTCTAGATGCCAAATATAGACACAGATCAGAGTCTGTACATACTTGCTGGGTGATTATAAACCAGTACCAGCTCCTCTGCTGTGTAGTGGATGAGACTTGCTACTCTTCGCACATGTCCAAGTGCCAGCAGCTCCACACTGAGCAGAGGTGCGCCCAAGTAAGGAGAACAAGATCACATCACATACAAGATGGGATCATGGATTTTTCTTTCATTAACACTTATCAAAAAAGAATATTCTCCCAAGAATAAACAGGAGAAAGGGAAGCTCCATTTATGAATACGTACACGCACTGCCATAATCTCAGTTAACTATCTGTGCTATCCCTAGGAATTAGTGGAGTTGATCACTATGAATGAGGAGAACACTAGCCAAGCTAACGGAATTTCAGACTCCATGAGAGGCACATGAAGACAAGTCTTGAGTCTGAAGCTCCCTGCTTGCTCAGGAAAGCCAGCGCTGCCGCTGCCCCTCACATACATGCAATTGCAGCCCCCTGGCAGTTGCAGGGGCTGCATCCAGAGAGCTCAGGGTGATTTCAGAGCCATCAGGGTGCACCATCAACCCACATCCATCACCTCACTGCTCCACAGTGCCTTCCAGTCTGAAGTTGCTCCTCAACATCATCTTGAGCAGGAACCACTGTAGACTTAGGATTAGCAACTTATTGCAATTACACTACACAGAAACTGATAGAAAACAGTGATGTTTATTTCCAACTCATTGAGCATAGAGATAAATTGCTGATCTAGAAACTAGTCTCCCTATACTGCTATGGCTCAGCTGCTGCCACGAGGCTGCACTGACCAGACACAAAGCAGCCCCTCTGCCTCACAGCAGGTTAAGGATGCCAGCTCTCCTCACAGCTTGTCATGTTAAGATAAGCTGGGTTTCTGAATCCATGATCATAGAGGTCAGGATAAGCTCCCAGTTTCACTAGCTGAGAGTAAAAGTAGGGGCTGCAGTTTAGTGCTCTGGCTTGGAACAGCAGAAATCCCACAGAAGGCTATATAGAAGACTATAACTGCACTTTTAATCACTTCTAGTCATTTTGGTAGAGCCACATGCCTGTGGGCCAAGTCCCAGCAGAGCCAGCCTGTCACAGAGCAGGAACATCAGGCAGCACAGGGAGGTGATGCTGTGCACCACAGCTCGCTGTGTGAGCCCGAAGGTGCTGCTGTAGCCACCTCCTGTGCTGCCAGCAGGGGCTTGGCTATGGCAGCTGTTACACAGGCTGTTTGCTCCTGCTTCAGGTTCCACTGTTAGCACTTTGGAGCTAGGTAAACTTTGTGACATATTTAACTTCAGGCCTTTTGCTGCTAATTGGGACAGTTCTCCTAACTTTTAATGAGAAAGCTAGGGCACCACGGTGCTCTTGGGAATGCTAGTTTTGGCGACCTTTGAACACTCAAACTAACTACTTCCATAATTGTATTTTTAAGAATAGTTAAAAAAATGGTCCCTAATTTCACATCAGGCAGGATTCCCTAGTGACAGGGTTGGAGATCCGGCACTGGTGTGCATTACAGAAAACTCCAGTGCTACCAGAATCACATGCTCTATTGAGAAACAAAGGAATCAGGACCTGAATATGTCAGAACTAAATACAGAGAAATGAGATTACAAATGATGAAAACTTTACTGGATAGAGCTGAGGTGTGCTGCATCAGACACACCTGTAGACTGTAGTTTCAACCCCCTCCAAACAGTCACACACCACAGTGATAGCCCAATCCCTTGGAAGAAAGATGTTGAGGTTGTGGGAGCTTTGCAGCAGGAACAAAGTTATCCTGATTTCCAAAACTAAGCAGCCACCCCAGTCAGAGGGAGCAACACCACACACACACCTCAGGGACAACAGCCTGGGGAGCCCGGGGAAGAGGTGCCCTGATGCTGCCAAGGGCAGTCCCACCACAGTGCTCCTGTCCATCCTGCAGTGACCTCACATCATACCAAGGGGTGCCAATGCCTGCTGTTTCACAAATTCACTGGTGGGGATTTTTGGTCTCTCCTCACTTCCTAAGGCACAGAGTCAAGCTTAGCTATGAAATGGCAGTGGGACACTTCCTTATCTCTAGATAAAAGGAAGAAGGTAAAAACACACTGTGTTCTTTTTACTTTCCCTTCTTGCAGGGTTTTTCCATTGTGTTTTTATCTGCTTCTGTGCATAGCTGACAGTGAAGGCCTTGGGAGCTGTTAAAACACCATAGTATACAGCATCACAACCACGAGTTCTTTAATGCCTAATCAGTCTCACTGATTAGCAAACAGACAGTGCGCAAACAGGCTTGCAAGAGGAATAAAAGCTCCCAGCCTAAGCAAAGAGCAGTGTTACACCACTTTTATTGTAAGCAATTGTAAACTCTGTTATTGCTCCTAAGAGGAAACTTTCCTGGCAAACTTTTGAAGTAACAAAAAGCAGAAGATGACAGTTCTTTCCCCTGGAAGCACAATGTCCCTTAGTGTTCTCACTTAAGTACTGTGCATGATGACATCCAACTGCCTTTCACCCTGCAATTCACTTGCATTATAAGGGGTGTTCCACTAAACAACTGGCATATTTTAGAAGAATAAAGGAGGAACCTGTCCAGTTTGTCAGTTACAGAATATCCTATTTTCTAGTTCCCTATAGCAGCTAATGTCTTCCTCCAACTCCAATCAACATGCATGAACATATGCACGAATGGAAAAGAGTAAGCCACAGTAAGTCTTGGAGATATCAAGCCTGTAAAGATCTGCTATGAAAAGCAAAACCAAAGGATGAGGAAATAAGTATGCCTCTGGATTCTCTTAAGAAGGCATTACTTCTGCATTACTGCATGTAAGCATGCAGTATACCCCAGGATTTTGCTATCAACTAAATTTTATTTCATCCTACTAGAATAGAAAATGCATTTTAGAGAGCATTAAAAAAAAAAATGCATCCTATCTCAGAAGTCCTGAATCTAAGGCAATATGTACAACTATAAAAAAAACCACCAAGGAGCATGTAAGTGAATGGAGATGCAGAGAAAAAGGTCAATACATCAAGTCATGCAATCTCACTATGTGCATGACCAAGGGCTTTGTTTACTTGCAGCATACACAGAACACCCTTTATAGTTTACATTTGATACTTCCTTTTAAAACTCCTTCAAGTAACTTGAAATGTTAAAGTAAGGAAGAAAATTCTCTGTCTTTCCCTGCATGGAAATACAAAACAAACATTTGGAAATACTCTGGGCCTCTTGCTTTGTCCAGAGAAGGCTCTCAGATAGCAGTAAAGTGCTTTGTAAAAGTAATCTGCTCCAGTCTGTAACAGTTACAATGTGAACAGACTTGGTAGGAGCTGAGATGAAGTTCAGCTTGTATCCAGCATGCTTGATGTTCCGTGGGAGACTGCGCAAGAACTTCCTTGCTCCTGTATGGACTGCTGGAGATGTAGGACATCCCAGAACAGAACAGGAGACACTCCACCGCAGAAGGCCAAAGAAGTTAGAGAGAGTCTGCTAAGGGCCCAGGAGATGAGGCTAACAGAAAGCCATGCAAACTGAAGGCTAGGAGAGGATGAGCTTTAGGAAATGCCACAACTAAGGCTATTCATGTGCTAGGCAAATCATAACCTGAGGAGAGCACTGACTAAAGTGACTGCTGTGGGAGGATCAATGAGATGGGGAAACGGAGGTCTGCAGAGCTTAGTACTGCTGATGCAAAAGGGTTTCCACACAGTAAGTGAAGAATACTAGCTGTTTTCTAACAGCCACTTCCTAGGTAGGAGGCAGGGGGAGAGAGTAACCAATTCCTCCCCTTCCTCCAAGGACATCCTTCCCTTTAATCACCTATAGTGATAAAAAAAAGGGACCTAGCTAATGCTAGTTACAAGTCAGGCACCATTCTGCACAAGCTGCTTATATAAGGACAATCCCAGTTGGCACCAGTGGACCCTAGAGTGCTGCCTCAGGCTGCTGGGGACGTGAGGGCTGCGCTGATCACCCGATGTAACTCAGAGGCTGCCAGACCGCGAGCTCATGAGGCCCTATCCACTGTTCTCACTCCCCAGAGGTGGGGAGAAACCACTGATTGAAGGTAGTGAATCTCAGACTTCACTGTTCACATTGCTGCTTAAATGAACAAATAAATAAATAAAGAGAATGGAAGCTCAGGCAAACTCCCCTCTTTTGTTTTCTCATTCCAGGGAACAGATCCGAGCCGCTAACAGAGACCAGAGTCTGAAGGGATACCCTGCTTCCTGGAACTCATTTTACCATTTTAATTCCACAGAACAAGTACAGTAAATATTGTGTGTTTTGCAGATTTGATATCACTGCAAAATCACAATATTGATTTTACAGTTTTTTGCCTACAGAGGTCTTTCAAACAGCAATGCAGAGAACAAGATGAGCAATCTGAAAACAAAAATCAAAGCCTGGATCAGAGAGCTCATTACGCAGTCTGTGACTTAATACTCAGAACTGCAGTGGATTAAGTCTTCTGTATTCCCTGAAGGTTCTGTGGGAAGGAACTCATGCTGCTAACCAAATCCCATGTTGTGCTGACAGCATTACAAACCCAGAGGCAGAACCCAGCTCTGCCAGCCTCGGGCTGCCCACACCAACACACTCTCCTTCACAGAGACAGTTCCATGGCCAAGAGACCTCAAATTGCCAGCTGTGCGTACTCCCAACACAAAGAAGCCTTCTCTAACACTGAGGACAGCTTGCTGTATGCAGCCATGTCAGAGAGCATGGCTAACCTGCAACATGCCCCAAACCCCTACACCTGCTCTGCTCCTACTGCCTGTCTCCTG